CCAAGCAAGCTCATGGACCAGGCAAACTCTTGGACCAGGCAAGCTCCTGGACCAGGCAAGCTCTTGGACCAGGCAAGCTTGTGGACCACACACGCTCCTGGACGAGGCAAGTTCCTGGACCAGGTAATCTCCTGGACCACGCAAGCTCTTGGACCAGGCATGCTCCTGGACCACGCAAGCTCTTAGACCAGGCAGGCGTCTAGTCCAAGCAAGCTCCTAGACCAGGCAAGCTCCTGGACCACGCAAGCTCCTGGACCAGAAAAGCTCCTGGACTAGGCAAGCTCATGGAGCAGGCACGCTCCTGGACCAGGCAAGCTCCTGGACCAGGCAAGCTCATGGACCAGGCACGCTCCTTGACTAGGCAAGCTCCTGGACCAGGCAAGCTCCTGGACCACGCAAGCTCTTGGACCAGGCACGCTCCTGGACCAGGCAAGCTCCTGGACCAGGCAAGCTTCTGGACTAGGCAAGCTCCTAGACCAGGCACGCTTGTGGACCAGGCACGCTCGTGGACTAGGCAAGCTCTTGGACCAGGCAGGCTTGTGGACCAGGCACGCTCCTGGACCAGGCAAGCTCGTGGACCACGCAATCTCCTAGACCAGGAAAACTCGTGGACCACGCACGCTCGTGGACCAGGCAAGCTCCTGGACCAGGCAATCTCCTGGACCAGGCAAACTCGTAGACCAGGCACGCTCCTTGACCAGGCAAGCTCCTGGACGAGGCAAGCTCCTAGACCAGGCAAGCTCCTGGATCAGGCAAGCTCATGGACCAGGCACGCTCCTGGACCAGGCAAGCTCCTAGACCAGGCAAGCTCCTGGACCACGCAAGCTCTTGAACCAGGCACGCTCCTGGACCAGGCAGGCTCTTGGACCAGGCAAGCTCCTGGACCAAGCAAGCTCCTAGACCAGGCAAGCTCCTGGACCAGGCAAGCTCCTGAACCAGGAAAACTTGTTGACCAGGCACGCTCCTGGACCAGGCAAGCTCTTAGATCAGGCAAGCTCCTGGACCAGGCAAGCTCCTGGACCAGGCAAGCTCCTAGACCAGGCACGCTCCTGGACCAGGCAAGCTCCTAGACCAGGCAAGCTTCTGGACCAGGCAAACTCGTGGACCAGGAACGCTCCTGGACCAGGCAAGCTCCTTGACCAGGCAAGATCCTAGACTAGGCAAGATCCAGGACCAGGCAAACTCCTGGACCAGGCAAAATCGTGGACCAGGCAAGCTCCTGGACCAGGCAAAATCGTGGACCAGGAGCTTGCATGTTCCAGGAGCTTGCCTGGTCCAGGAGCTTGCCTTGTCGAGGAGCGTGCCTTGTCCAGGAGTGTGCCTGGTTCAGGAGCTTGCTTGGTCCAGAAGCCTCCCTGGTCCAAGAGCTTGCCTGGTCCAGGAGCGTGCCTTGTCCAAGAGCTTGCTTGGTCCAGGAGCTTGCCTAGTCCATGAGCTTGCCTGGTCCAGGAGCTTGCCTGGTCCAGGAGCTTGCCTGGTCTAGGAGCTTGCCTCGTCCAGGAGCGTGCCTGGTCCAGGAGCTTGCCTGGTCCAGGAGTTTGCCTGGTCTAGGAGCCTGCTTGGTCCTGGAGCGTGCCTAGTCCACGAGCTTGCCTGGTCTAGGAGCTTGCCTGGTCCAGGAGTTTGCCTGGTCCAGGAGCTTGCCTGGTCCAGGAGTTTGCCTGGACAAGGAGCTTGCCTGGTCCGGGAGCGTGCCTGGTCCACGAGTTTGCCTGGTCCAGGAGCTTGCCTGGTCCAGGAGCTTGCCTGGTCCAGGAGCTTGCCTGGTCCACGAGCTTGCCTGGTCCAAGAGATTGCCGGGTCCAGGAGCTTGCCTGGTCCAGGAGCTTGCCTGGTCCAAGAGAGTGCCTGGTCCACGAGCTTGGTTGGTCCAGGAGTTTGCCTGGTCAAGGAGTTTGCCTGGTCCAAGAGCTTGCCTTGTCCAAGCGCTCGCATGGTCCAGGAGCTTGCCTGGTCCAGGACCTTGCCTGGTCTACGAGCTTCCCTGGTCCAGGACCTTGCCTGGTCTAGGAGCTTGCCTGGTCCACGAGCGTGCCTGGTCCAAGAGCTTGCCTGGTCCACGAGCTTGCCGGGTCCAGGAGCTTGCCTGGTCCAGGATCTTGCCTGGTCCTGGAGCGTGCCTGGTCCACGAGTTTGCCTGGTCCTGGAGCTTGCGTGGTCCAGGAGCTTGCCTGGTCTAGGAGCTTGCCCGGTCCACAAGCGTGCCTGGTCTAGGGTTTAGGAGCTTGCCTGGTATAGGAGCTTGCCAGATCTAGGGTTTAGGAGCGTGCCTAGTCCAGGAGCTTGCCTGATCCAGGAGCTTGACTGGTCCAGGAGCTTGCCTGGTCCAGGATCTTGCCTAGTCCTGGAGCGTGCCTGGTTCATGAGTTTGCCTGGTCTAGGAGCTTGCCTGGTCCAGGACCTTGCCTGGTCTAGGAGCTTGCCTGGTCCAGCAGCGTGCCTGGTCCAGGAGCTTGCCTGATCCAGGAGCTTGCGTGGTTTAGGAGCTTGCCTGGTCCAGGATCTTGCCTGGTCCTGGAGCGTGCCTGGTCCACGAGTTTTCCTGGTCCAGGAGCTTGCCTGGTCCATGAGCGTGCCTGGTCTACGAGCTTGCCTGGTCCAGGAGCTTGCCTTGTCCAGGTCCTTGCCTGGTCTAGGAGCTTGCCTGGTACAGGAGCGTGCCTGGTCCACGAGCTTGCCTGGTCAAGGAGCTTGCCTCGTCTAGGAGCTTGCCTAGTCTAGGAGCGTGCCTGGTCCATAAGCTTGCCTGGTCGAGGAGCTTGCGTGGTCCAGGAGCTTGCCTGGTCTAGGAGCTTGCCTTGTCCAAGAGCTTTCTTGGTCCATTAGCTTGCCTGGTCAAGGAGCTTGCCTGGTCCAGGAGCTTTCCTGGTCCAAGAGCTTGCCTGGTCCAGACGCTTGCCTGGTCCAGGAGCTTGCATGTTCCGGGAGCTTGCATGGACCAGGAGCTTGCCTGGTCCAGGAGCTTGCCTTTTCCAGGAGCGTGCCTGGTCCAGAAGTGTGCCTAGTTTAGGAGCTTGCTTGGTCCAGAAGCCTGCCTAGTCCAAGAGCTTGCCTGGTCCAGGAGCGTGCCTTGTCCAAGAGCTTTCCTGGTCCAGGAGCTTGCCTAGTCCATGAGCTTGCCTGGTCCAGGAGCTTGCCTAGTCCAGGAGCTTGCCTGGTCCACGAGCTTGCCTGGTCTAAGAGCTTGCCTTGTCCAAGAGCTTGCGTGGTCCAGGAGCTTGCCTGGTCCAGGACCTTGCCTGGTCTACGAGCTATCCTTGTCCAGGACCTTGCCTGGTCTAGGAGCTTGCCTGGTCTAGGATCGTGCCTGGTCCAGGAGCTTGCCTGATCCAGAAGCTTTCCTGGTCCAGGATCTTGCCTGGTCCTGGAGCGTGCCTGGTCCACGAGTTTGCCTGGTCCAGGAGCTTGCCTGGTCCAGGAGCTTGCCTGGTCTAGGAGCTTGCCTGGTCCACGAGCTTGCCTGGTCTAGGAGCTTGCGTGGTCCACGAGCTTGCCTGGTCTAGGAGCTTGCCTGGTCCACGAGCTTGCCTGGTTCAGGAGCTTGCCTGGTCCAAGAGCTTGCTTGGTCCAGGAGCTTGCCTTGTCCAGGAGCTTGCCAGGTCTAGGAGCGTGCCTGGTCCACGAGCCTGCCTGCTCCAAGAGCTTGCCTAGTCCAAGAGCGTGCCTGGTCCACGAGCGTGCCTGGTCCAGGAGCTTGCCTGGTCCAGGAGCTTGCCTCGTCTAGGAGCTTGCGTGGTCCAAGTGCGTGCCTGGTCCAGGAGCTTGCCTGGTCCAGGAGCTTGCCTGGTCCAGGAGCTTGCCTGGTCTAGGAGCTTGCCTTGTCTAGGAACTTTCTTGGTCCGTTAGCTTGCCTGGTCAAGGAGCTTGCCTGGTCCAGGAGCTTTCCTGGTCCAAGAGCTTGCCTGGTCCAGGAGCTTGCCTGGTCCAGGAGCTTGCATGTTCCAGGAGCTTGCCTGGTCAAGGAGCTTGCCTGGTCCAGGAGCTTGCCTTGTCCAGGAGCGTGCCTGGTCCAGGAGTGTGCCTGGTCCAGGAGCTTGCTTGGTTTAGAAGCCTGCTTGGTCCAAGAGCTTGCCTGGTCTAGGAGCGAGCCTTGTCCAAGAGCTTGCCTGGTCCAAGAGCTTGCCTGGTCCATTAGCTTGCCTAGTCAAGGAGCTTGCCTTGTCCGAGAGCTTGCCTGGTCCAAAAGGTTGCTTGGTCTAGGAGCTTGCCTAGTCCAGGAGCTTGCCTGGTCCAGGAGCTTGCCTGGTCCAGGAGCTTGCCTGGTCCACGAGCTTGCCTGGTCCAGGAGCTTGCTTGGTCCACGAGCTTGCCTGGTCCAAGCAACCTTTTGGACCAGCGCGTGACGTGTGGTCATACAGGGAGAGATCGTCCTAGCCAAACTTCAAACTTAACTGGGCGGCCCTCAGCGTCAAAGGTGAGAATTGGAATGGCCATAGTGGCAGCAGTAGCAATAGGAACAGTAGCAGTAGTAGCAGTAGCACGATAGGAACAGGAACAGGAGTTGCTGCAGGTGGGGCACAGTAGGGCCGCGCGGCTCAGGTTGAGCGGCGCGGCTCGGTTCGGGCGGCGTGGCTCGGGTCGGGGGGCGCGGCTCAGTTCGGGCGGCGCGGCTCGGCTCCGGCTGGGCTACGCGGCGTGCGCGTGGGCGGCTGTAGCGGGCGGGCCGCGGCTGTGTTCTCCCTCCTTCCATCACCCCAACCCATTCTCCCTCTTTCCATCACCCGATCCCATTCTCCCGCTTTCCATCTCCCCGGCCCATTCTCCGTCTTTCCATCACCTGCCCCATTCTCCCGCTTTTCATCACCACGCCCCATTCTCTTGCTTTCCATCACCCCGCCCCATCCTCCCTCCGTCCATCACCCCGCCCCATTCTCCCGCTTTCCATCAGCCCGCCCCATTCTCCCTCCTTCCATCACCCGCCCCGTTCTCCCTCCTTCCATCACCCCGCCCCATTCTCCCTTTTTCCATCACCCCGCCCCATTCTCCAACTTTCCATCACCATGCCCCATTCTCCCGCATTCCATCACCCCGCCCCATTCTCCCGCTTTCCATCACCCGGCCCCATTCTCCCGCTTTCCATCACCGCGCCCCATTCTCCCGCTTTCCATCAGCCCGCCCCATTCTCCCGCGTTCCATCTCCCCATCCCATTCTCCCTCCTTCCATCACCCCGCCCCATTCTCCCGCTTTCAATCAACCTGCTCCATTATCCCGCCCGATTATCCCTCCTTCCATCACCCCGCCCCATTCTCCCTCCTTCCATCAACCCACCCCATTCTCCCTCCTTCCATCACCCTGCCCCATTCTCCCGCTTTCCATCACCCCACCCCATTCTCTCGCTTTCCATCACCCCGCCCCATTCTCCCGCTTTCCATCACCCTGCCCCATTCTCCCGCTTTCCATCTCCCCGCCCCTTTCTCCCGCTTTCCATCGCCCCGCCCCATTCTCCCGCTTTCAATCTCCCCGCCCCATTCTCTCGCATTCCATCACCCCGCCCCATTCTCCCGCTTTCCATCACCCCGCCCCATTCTCCCGCTTTCCATCACCCCGCCCCATTCTCCCGCTCTCCATCACCCCGCCCCATTATCCCGCTTTCCATCAACCCGCCCGATTTTCCCGCTTTCCATCACCCGGCCCCATTCTCCCGCTTTCTATCACCCCGCCCCATTCTCCCGCTTTCCATCACCCCGCCCCATTCTCCAGCTTTCCATCACCCCGCCCCATTCCACCGCTTTCCATCACCCTGCCCCATTCTCCCTTCTTCCATCACCCCGCCCCATTCTCCCTCCTTCCATCACCCCGCCCCATTCTCCCGCTTTCCATCACCCCGGCCCATTCTCCCGCTTTCCATCACCCCGGCCCATTCTCCCACTTTCCATCACCCTGCCCCATTCTCCCGCTTTCCATCACCCCGCCCCGTTCTCCCTCCTTCCATCACCCCGCCCCATTCTCCCGCTTTCCATCACCCGCCCCATTTTCCCGCTTTCCATCACCACGCCCCATTCTCCCGCTTTCCATCACCCCACCCCATTCTCCCGCTTTCCATCACCCCGCCCCATTCTCCCGCTTTCCATCACCCCGCCACATTCTCCCGCTTTCCATCACCCCGCCCCATTCTCCCGCTTTCCATCACCCCGCCCCATTCTCCCGCTTTCCATCACCACGCCCCATTCTCCCGCTTTCCATCACCCCGCCCCGTACTCCTGCTTTCCATCACCCTGCCCCATCCTCCCTCCTTCCATCACCTCGGCCCGTTCCCCCAGATTCCATCACCCTATCCCTTTCTCCCGCTTTCCATCTCCCCGCCCCATTCTCCCGCTTTACATCACCCCGCCCCATTCTCCCGCTTTCCATCACCCCGCACCATTCTCCCGCTTTCCATCACCCCGACCCATTCTCCCTCCTTCCATTACCACGGCCCATTCTAGCTCCTTCCATCACCCCGCCCCATTCTCCCGCTTTCCATCACCCCGCCCCATTCTCCCGCTTTCCATCACCCCACCCCATTCTCCCTCCTTCCATCACCCCGCCCCATTCTCCCGCTTTCCATCACCCCGCCCCATTCTCCCGCTTTCCATCACCCCATCCCATTCTCCCGCTTTCCATCACCCCGCCCCATTCTCCCGCTTTCCATCACCCCGCCCCATTCTCCCGCTTTCCATCACCCCGCCCCATTCTCCAGCTTTCCATCACCTCACCTCATTCTCCCTCCTTCAATCACCCCGCCCCATTCTCCCTCCTTCCATCAACCCGCCCCATTCTCCCTCTTTCCATCACCCCGCCCCATTCTCCCGCTTTCCATCACCCTGTCCCATTCTCCCGCTTTCCATCACCCCGCCCCATTCTCCCGCTTTCCATCACCCCGCCCCATTCTCCTGCTTTCTATCACCCCGCCCCATTCTCCCGCTTTCCATCACCCCGCCCCATTCTCCCACTTTCTATCACTCCACCCCATTCTCCCTCCTTCCATCACCCCGCCCCATTCTCCCGATTTCCATCACCCCGCCCCATTCTCCCGCTTTCCATCACCCCGCCCCATTCTCCCGATTTCCATCACCCCGCCCCATTCTCCCGCTTTCCATCACCCCACCCCATTCTCCCTCCTTCCATCACCCCGCCCCATTCTCCCGCTTTCCATCACCCCGCCCCATTCTCCCGCTTTCCATCACCCCATCCCATTCTCCCGCTTTCCATCACCCCGCCCCATTCTCCCGCTTTCCATCACCCCGCCCCATTCTCCCGCTTTCCATCACCCCGCCCCATTCTCCAGCTTTCCATCACCTCACCTCATTCTCCCTCCTTCAATCACCCCGCCCCATTCTCCCTCCTTCCATCAACCCGCCCCATTCTCCCTCTTTCCATCACCCCGCCCCATTCTCCCGCTTTCCATCACCCTGTCCCATTCTCCCGCTTTCCATCACCCCGCCCCATTCTCCCGCTTTCCATCACCCCGCCCCATTCTCCTGCTTTCTATCACCCCGCCCCATTCTCCCGCTTTCCATCACCCCGCCCCATTCTCCCACTTTCTATCACTCCACCCCATTCTCCCTCCTTCCATCACCCCGCCCCATTCTCCCGATTTCCATCACCCCGCCCCATTCTCCCGCTTTCCATCACCCCGCCCCATTCTCCCGATTTCCATCACCCCGCCCCATTCTCCCGCTTTCCATCAACCCGCCGCATTCTCCCTCTTTCCATCACCCAGCCCCATTCTCCCTTATTCCATTACCCTGCCCCGTTCTCCCTCTTTCCATCACCCCGCCCCGTTCTCCCTCTTTCCATCACCCCGCCCCATTCTCCTGCTTTCTATCACCCCGCCCCATTCTCCCGCTTTCCATCACCCCGCCCCATTCTCCCACTTTCCATCACCCCGCCCCATTCTTCCGCTTTCCATCACCCCCCGCTTTCCATCACCCCGCCCCATTCTCCCTCTTTCCATAACCCCGCCCCTTTCTCCCGCTTTCCATCACCCCGCCCCATTCTCCTTCATTCCATCGCCCCGCCCCATTCTCCCTCTTTCCATCACCTTGCTCCATTCTCCCGCTTTCCATCACTCCGCCCCATTCTCCCTCTTTCCATCGCCCCGCCGCATTCTTCCTCTTTCCCTCACCCAGCCCCATTCTCCCTCTTTCCATCACCCAACCCCATTCTCCCTCTTTCCATCACCCCGCCCCATTCTCTAGCTTTCCATCACCCCGCCCCATTCTCCCTCTTTCCATCAACCCGCCCCATTCTCCCACTTTCCATCACCCCGCCCCTTTTTCTCACTTTCCATCACCCCGCCCCATTCTCCCTCTTTCCATCACCCCGCCCCATTCTCCCTCTTTCCATCACCCCGCCCCATTCTCCCACTTTCCATCACCCCGCCCCTTTTTCTCACTTTTCATCACCCCGCCCCATTCTCCCGCTTTCCATCACCCCGCCCCATTCTCCCTCTTTCCATCACCCAGCCCCATTCTCCCACTTTCCATCACCCCGCCCCATTCTCTCGCTTTCCATCACCCCGCCCCATTCTCCCTCTTTCCATCACCCCGCCCCATTCTCCCACTTTCCATCACCCCGCCCCTTTTTCTCACTTTCCATCACCCCGCCCCATTCTCCCTCTTTCCATCACCCCGCCCCATTCTCCCTCTTTCCATCACCCAGTCCCATTCTCCCACTTTCCATCACCCCGACCCATTCTCCCACTTTCCATCACCCCGCCCCTTTTTCTCACTTTCCATCACCCAGCCCCATTCTCCCTCTTTCCATCACCCAACCCCATTCTCCCTCTTTCCATCACCCCGCCCCATTCTCTAGCTTTCCATCACCCCGCCCCATTCTCCCTCTTTCCATCACCCCGCCCCATTCTCCCACTTTCCATCACCCCGCCCCTTTTTCTCACTTACCATCACCCCGCCCCATTCTCCCTCTTTCCATCATCCCGCCCCATTCTCCCTCTTTCCATCACCCCGCCCCATTCTCCCACTTTCCATCACCCCGCCCCTTTTTCTCACTTTTCATCACCCCGCCCCATTCTCCCGCTTTCCATCACCCCGCCCCATTCTCCCACTTTCCATCACCCCGCCCCATTCTCTCGCTTTCCATCACCCCGCCCCATTCTCCCGCTTTCCATCACCCCGCCCCATTCTCCCACTTTCCATCACCCCGCCCCTTTTTCTCACTTTCCATCACCCCGCCCCATTCTCCCACTTTCCATCACCCCGCCCCATTCTCTCGCTTTCCATCACCCCGCCCCATTCTCCCGCTTTCCATCACCCCGCCCCATTCTCCCACTTTCCATCACCCCGCCCCTTTTTCTCACTTTCCATCACCCCGCCCCATTCTCCCACTTTCCATCACCCCGCCCCATTCTCCCACTTTCCATCACCCCGCCCCTTTTTCTCACTTTCCATCACCCCGCCCCATTCTCCCTCTTTCCATCACCCCGCCCTATTCTCCCTCTTTCCATCACCCAGCCCCATTCTCCCACTTTCCATCACCCCGCCCCATTCTCCCGCCTTCCATCACTCCGCCCCATTCTCCCTCTTTCCATCACCCAGCCCCATTCTCCTGCTGTCCATCACCCCGCCCCGTTCTCCCTCTTTGCATTTCCCCGCCCCGTTCTCCCTCTTTCCATCACCCCACCCCGTTCTCCCGCTTTCCATCACCCCGCCCCTTTCTCTCACTTTCCATCACCCCGCCCCATTCTCCCTCTTTCCATAACCCCGCCCCATTCTCCCTCTTTCCATCACCCCGCCCCATTCTCCCTCCTTCCATCACCCCGCCCCATTCTCCCGATTTCCATCACCCCGCCCCATTCTCCCGCTTTCCATCACCCCGCCCCACTCTCCCGCTTTCCATCACCCCGCCCCATTCTCCCTCTTTCCATCACCCCGCCCCAGTCTCCTGTTTTCCATCAACCTCCCCATTCTCTTGTTTTCCATCAACCTGCCCCATTCTCCCACTTTCCATCACCCCTCCCCATTCTCCCTCTTTCCATCACCCCGCCCCATTCTCCCTCTTTCCATCATCCCGCCCTTTTCTCCTGATTTCCATCACCCCGCCCCATTCTCCTGCTTTCCATCACCCCACCCCATTCTCCTGCTTTCCATCACCCCCCCCTATTCTCCCTCCTTCCATCATCCCGACCCATTCTCCCTCCTTCCATCACCCCGACCCATTCTCCCGCTTTTCGTCACCCCGCCCCATTCTCCCTCTTTTCGTCACCCCGCCCCATTCTCCCGCTTCCCATCACCCCGCCCCAATCTCCCGCTTTCCATCACCCCGCCCCATTCTTCTGCTTTCCATCACCCCGCCCCATTCTCCGTCCTTCTATCATCCCGCCCCATTCTCTTGCTTTCCATCACACCGCCTTGATCTCCCTCTTTCCATAACCCCGCCTCGTTCTCCCTCTTTCCATCACCCCGCCCCATTCTCCCGCTTTCCATCACCCCGCCCCTTTTTCTCACTTTCCATCACCCCGCCCCATTCTCCCTCTTTCCATCACCCCACCCCATTCTCCCTCTTTCCATCACCCAGCCCCATTCTTCCGCTTCCCATCACCCCGCCCCGTTCTCCCGCTTTCCATCACCCCGCCCCATTCTCCCGCTTTCCATCAACCCGCCGCATTCTCCCTCTTTCTATCACCCAGCCCCATTCTCCCTTTTTCCATTATCCTGCCCCGTTCTCCCTCTTTCCATCACCCCGCCCCGTTCTCCCTCTTTCCATCACCCCGCCCCATTCTTCCGCTTTCCATCACCCAGCCCCATTCTCCCTCTTTCCATCACCCAACCCCATTCTCCCTCTTTCCATCACCCCGCCCCATTCTCCCTCTTTCCATCACCCCGCCCCATTCTCCCTCTTTCCATCACCCCGCCCCATTCTCTCGCTTTCCATCACCCCGCCCCATTCTCCCTCTTTCCATCACCTCGCCCCATTCTCCCACTTTCCATCACCCCGCCCCTTTTTCTCACTTTCCATAACCCCGCCCCATTCTCCCTCTTTCCATCACCCCGCCCCATTCTCCCTCTTTCCATCACCCCGCCCCATTCTCCCACTTTCCATCACCCCGCCCCTTTTTCTCACTTTCCATCACCCCGCCCCATTCTCCCTGTTTCCATCACCCCGCCCCATTCTCCCTCTTTCCATCACCCAGCCCCATTCTCCCACTTTCCATCACCCCGCCCCATTCTCTCGCTTTCCATCACCCCGCCCCATTCTCCCTCTTTCAATCACCCCGCCCCATTCTCCAACTTTCCATCACCCCGCCCCTTTTTCTCACTTTCCATCACCCCGCCCCATTCTCCCTCTTTCCATCACCCCGCCCCATTCTCCCGCTTTCTATCACCCCGCCCCATTCTCCCGCTTTCCATCAACCCGCCGCATTCTCCCTCTTTCCATCACCCAGCCCCATTCTCCCTTTTTCCATTACCCTGCCCCGTTCTCCCTCTTTCCATCACCCCGCCCCGTTCTCCCTCTTCCATCACCCCGCCCCATTCTCCCGCTTTCCATCACCCCGCCCCTTTTTCTCACTTTCCATCACCCCGCCCCATTCTCCCTCTTTCCATCACCCCGCCCCATTCTCCCTCTTTCCATCACCCAGCCCCATTCTTCCGCTTCCCATCACCCCGCCCCGTTCTCCCGCTTTCCATCACCCCGCCCCATTCTCCCGCTTTCCATCAACCCGCCGCATTCTCCCTCTTTCCATCACCCAGCCACATTCTCCCTTTTTCCATTACCCTGCCCTGTTCTCCCTCTTTCCATCACCCCGCCCCGTTCTCCCTCTTTCCATCACCCCGCCCCGTTCTCCCTCTTTCTATCACCCCGCCCCATTCTCCCTCTTTCCATCACCCCGCCCCATTCTCCCACTTTCCATCACCCCGCCCCTTTTTCTCACTTTCCATCACCCCGCCCCATTCTCCCTCTTTCCATCACCCAGCCCCATTCTCCCTCTTTCCATCACCCCGCCCCATTCTCCTTCTTTCCATCGCCGCGCCCCATTCTCCCTCTTTCCATCACCTCGCTCCGTTCTCCCGCTTTCCATCACTCCGCCCCATTCTCCCTCTTTCCATCGCCCCGCCGCATTCTTCCTCTTTCCATCACCCAGCCCCATTCTCCCTCTTTCCATCACCCAACCCCATTCTTCCTCTTTCCATCACCCCGCCCCATTCTCCCTCTTTCCATCACCCCGCCCCATTCTCCCTCTTTCCATCACCCCGCCCCATTCTCTCGCTTTCCATCACCCCGCCCCATTCTCCCTCTTTCCATCACCCCGCCCCATTCTCCCACTTTCCATCACCTCGCCCCATTTTCTCACTTTCCATCACCCCGCCCCATTCTCCCTCTTTCCATCACCCCGCCCCATTCTCCCTCTTTCCATCACCCCGCCCCATTCTCCCACTTTCCATCACCCCGCCCCTTTTTCTCACTTTCCATCACCCCGCCCCATTCTCCCTCTTTCCATCACCCCGCCCCATTCTCCCTCTTTCCATCACCCCGCCCCATTCTCCCACTTTCCATCACCCCGCCCCTTTTTCTCACTTTCCATCACCCCGCCCCATTCTCCCTCTTTCCATCACCCAGCCCCATTCTCCCTCTTTCCATCACCCCGCCCCATTCTCCTTCTTTCCATCGCCGCGCCCCATTCTCCCTCTTTCCATCACCTCGCTCCATTCTCCCGCTTTCCATCACTCCGCCCCATTCTCCCTCTTTCCATCGCCCCGCCGCATTCTTCCTCTTTCCATCACCCAGCCCCATTCTCCCTCTTTCCATCACCCAACCCCATTCTTCCTCTTTCCATCACCCCGCCCCATTCTCCCTCTTTCCATCACCCTGCCCCATTCTCCCTCTTTCCATCACCCCGCCCCATTCTCTCGCTTTCCATCACCCCGCCCCATTCTCCCTCTTTCCATCACCCCGCCCCATTCTCCCACTTTCCATCACCTCGCCCCTTTTTCTCACTTTCCATCACCCCGCCCCATTCTCCCTCTTTCCATCACCCCGCCCCATTCTCCCTCTTTCCATCACCCCGCCCCATTCTCCCACTTTCCATCACCCCGCCCCTTTTTCTCACTTTCCATCACCCCGCCCCATTCTCCCTCTTTCCATCACCCCGCCCCTTTCTCCCTCTTTCCATCACCCAACCCCATTCTTCCTCTTTCCATCACCCCACCCCATTCTCCTGCTTTCCATCAACCCGCCGCATTCTCCCTCTTTCCATCACCCAGCCCCATTCTCCCTCTTTCCATCACCCCGCCCCGTTCTTCCGCTTTCCATCACCCAGCCCCATTCTCCCTCTTTCCATCACCCAACCCCATTCTTCCTCTTTCCATCACCCCGCCCCATTCTCCCTCTTTCCATCACCCCGCCCCATTCTCCCTCTTTCCATCACCCCGCCCCATTCTCTCGCTATCCATCACCCCGCCCCATTCTCCCTCTTTCCATCACCCCGCCCCATTCTCCCACTTTCCATCACCCCGCCCCTTTTTCTCACTTTCCATAACCCCGCCCCATTCTCCCTCTTTCCATCACCCCGCCCCATTCTCCCTCTTTCCATCACCCCGCCCCATTCTCCCACTTTCCATCAACCCGCCCCTTTTTCTCACTTTCCATCACCCCGCCCCATTCTCCCTCTTTCCATCACCCCGCCCCGTTCTCCCTCTTTCCATCACCCCGCCCCATTCTCCCACTTTCCATCACCCTGCCCCATTCACTCGCTTTCCATCACCCCGCCCCATTCTCCCTCTTTCCATCACCCCGCCCCATTCTCCCTCTTTCCATCACCCCGCCCCATTCTCCCACTTTCCATCAACCCGCCCCTTTTTCTCACTTTCCATCACCCCGCCCCGTTCTCCCTCTTTCCATCACCCCGCCCCGTTCTCCCTCTTTCCATCACCCCGCCCCATTCTCCCGCTTTCCATCACCCCGCCCCTTTTTCTCACTTTCCATCACCGCGCCCCATTCTCCCTCTTTCCATCACCCCGCCCCATTCTCCCTCTTTCCATCACCCAGCCCCATTCTCCCACTTTCCATCACCCCGCCCCATTCTCCCGCCTTCCATCACTCCGCCCCATTCTCCCTCTTTCCATCACCCAGCCCCATTCTCCTGCTGTCCATCACCCCGCCCCACTCTCCCGCTTTCCATCACCCCGCCCCATTCTCCCTCTTTCCATCACCCCGCCCCAGTCTCCCGTTTTCCATCAACCTCCCCATTCTCTTGCTTTCCATCAACCTGCCCCATTCTCCCGCTTTCCATCACCCCTCCCCATTCTCCCTCTTTCCATCACCCCGCCCCATTCTCCCTCTTTCCATCATCCCGCCCTTTTCTCCTGATTTCCATCACCCCGCCCCATTCTCCTGCTTTCCATCACCCCACCCCATTCTCCCGCTTTCCATCACCCCCCCCTATTCTCCCTCCTTCCATCATCCCGACCCATTCTCCCTCCTTCCATCACCCCGACACATTCTCCCGCTTTTCGTCACCCCGCCCCATTCTCCCGCTTTTCGTCACCCCGCCTCATTCTCCCGCTTCCCATCACCCCGCCCCAATCTCCCGCTTTCCATCACCCCGCCCCATTCTTCTGCTTTCCATCACCCCGCCCCATTCTCCGTCCTTCTATCACCCCGCCCCATTCTCTTGCTTTCCATCACACCGCCTTGATCTCCCTCTTTCCATAACCCCGCCTCGTTCTCCCTCTTTCCATCACCCCGCCCCATTCTTCTGCTTTCCATCACCCCGCCCCATTCTCCCTCTTTCCATCACCCCGCCCCATTCTCCCTCTTTCCATCACCCAGCCCCATTCTTCCGCTTCCCATCACCCCGCCCCGTTCTCCCGCTTTCCATCACCCCGCCCCATTCTCCCGCTTTCCATCAACCCGCCGCATTCTCCCTCTTTCCATCACCCAGCCCCATTCTCCCTTTTTCCATTACCCTGCCCCGTTCTCCCTCTTTCCATCACCCCGCCCCGTTCTCCCTCTTTGCATCACCCCGCCCCGTTCTTCCGCTTTCCATCACCCAGCCCCATTCTCCCTCTTTCCATCACCCAACCCCATTCTCCCTCTTTCCATCACCCCGCCCCATTCTCCCTCTTTCCATCACCCCGCCCCATTCTCCCTCTTTCCATCACCCCGCCCCATTCTCTCGCTATCCATCACCCCGCCCCATTCTCCCTCTTTCCATCACCCCGCCCCATTCTCCCACTTTCCATCACCCCGCCCCTTTTTCTCACTTTCCATAACCCCGCCCCATTCTCCCTCTTTCCATCATCCCGCCCCATTCTCCCTCTTTCCATCACCCCGCCCCATTCTCCCACTTTCCATCAACCCGCCCCTTTTTCTCACTTTCCATCACCCCGCCCCATTCTCCCTCTTTCCATCACCCCGCCCCATTCTCCCTCTTTCCATCACCCAGCCCCATTCTCCCACTTTCCATCACCCCGCCCCATTCACTCGCTTTCCATCACCCCGCCCCATTCTCCCTCTTTCCATCACCCCGCCCCATTCTCCAACTTTCCATCACCCCGCCCCTTTTTCTCACTTTCCATCACCCCGCCCCATTCTCCCTCTTTCCATCACCCCGCCCTGTTCTCCCGCTTTCCATCACCCCGCCCCATTCTCCCGCTTTCCATCAACCCGCCGCATTCTCCCTCTTTCCATCACCCAGCCCCATTCTCCCTTTTTCCATTACCCTGCCCCGTTCTCCCTCTTTCCATCACCCCGCCCCGTTCTCCCTCTTTCCATCACCCCGCCCCATTCTCCCGCTTTCCATCACCCCGCCCCTTTTTCTCACTTTCCATCACCCCGCCCCATTCTCCCTCTTTCCATCACCCCGCCCCATTCTCCCTCTTTCCATCACCCAGCCCCATTCTTCCGCTTCCCATCACCCCGCCCCGTTCTCCCGCTTTCCATCACCCCGCCCCATTCTCCCGCTTTCCATCAACCCGCCGCATTCTCCCTCTTTCCATCACCCAGCCCCATTCTCCCTTTTTCCATTACCCTGCCCCGTTCTCCCTCTTTCCATCACCCCGCCCCGTTCTCCCTCTTTCCATCACCCCGCCCCATTCTCCCTCTTTCCATCACCCAGCCCCATCTCCCGCTTTCCATCACCCCGCCCCATTCTCCCTCTTTCCATAACCCCGCCCCTTTCTCCCGCTTTCCATCACCCCGCCCCATTCTCCTTCTTTCCATCGCCCCGCCCCATTCTCCCTCTTTCCATCACCTCGCTCCATTCTCCCGCTTTCCATCACTCCGCCCCATTCTCCCTCTTTCCATCGCCCCGCTGCATTCTTCCTCTTTCCATCACCCAGCCCCATTCTCCCTCTTTCCATCACCCAACCCCATTCTCCCTCTTTCCATCACCCCGCCCCATTCTCCCTCTTTCCATCACCCCGCCCCATTCTCCCTCTTTCCATCACCCCGCCCCATTCTCTCGCTTTCCATCACCCCGCCCCATTCTCCCTCTTTCCATCACCCCGCCCCATTCTCCCACTTTCCATCACCCCGCCCCTTTTTCTCACTTTCCATCACCCCGCCCCATTCTCCCTCTTTCCATCACCCCGCCCCATTCTTCCTCTTTCCATCACCCCGCCCCATTCTCCCACTTTCCATCACCCCGCCCCATTTTCTCACTTTCCATCACCCCGCCCCATTCTCTCTCTTTCCATCACCCCGCCCCATTCTCCCTCTTTCCATCACCCCGCCCCATTCTCCCACTTTCCATCACCCCGCCCCATTCTCTCGCTTTCCATCACTCCGCCCCATTCTCCCTCTTTCCATCGCCCCGCCGCATTCTTCCTCTTTCCATCACCCAGCCCCATTCTCCCTCTTTCCATCACCCAACCCCATTCTCCCTCTTTCCATCACCCCGCCCCATTCTCCCTCTTTCCATCACCCCGCCCCATTCTCCCTCTTTCCATCACCCCGCCCCATTCTCTCGCTTTCCATCACCCCGCCCCATTCTCCCTCTTTCCATCACCCCGCCTCATTCTCCCTCTTTCCATCACCCCGCCCCATTCTCCCACTTTCCATCACCCCGCCCCTTTTTCTCACTTTCCATCACCCCGCCCCATTCTCCCTCTTTCCATCACCCCGCCCCATTCTCCCACTTTCCATCACCCCGCCCCTTTTTCTCACTTTCCATCACCCCGCCCCATTCTCCCTCTTTCCATCACCCCGCCCCATTCTCCCTCTTTCCATCACCCAGCCCCACTCTCCCACTTTCCATCACCCCGCCCCATTCTCTCGCTTTCCATCACCCCGCCCCATTCTCCCTCTTTCCATCACCCCGCCCCATTCTCCAACTTTCCATCACCCCGCCCCTTTTTCTCACTTTCCATCACCCCGCCCCATTCTCCCTCTTTCCATCACCCCGCCTCGTTCTCCCGCTTTCCATCACCCCGCCCCATTCTCTCGCTTTCCATCAACCCGCCGCATTCTCCCTCTTTCCATCACCCAGCCCCATTCTCCCTTTTTCCATTACCCTGCCCCGTTCTCCCTCTTTCCATCACCCCGCCCCGTTCTCCCTCTTTCCATCACCCCGCCCCATTCTCCCGCTTTCCATCACCGCGCCCCTTTTTCTCTCTTTCCATCACCCCGCCCCATTCTTCCTCTTTCCATCACCCCGCCCCATTCTCCCTCTTTCCATCACCCCGCCCCATTCTCCCACTTTCCATCACCCCGCCCCTTTTTCTCACTTTCCATCACCCCGCCCCATTCTCCCTCTTTCCATCACCCCGCCCCATTCTCCCTCTTTCCATCACCCAGCCCCACTCTCCCACTTTCCATCACCCCGCCCCATTCTCTCGCTTTCCATCACCCCGCCCCATTCTCCCTCTTTCCATCACCCCGCCCCATTCTCCAACTTTCCATCACCCCGCCCCTTTTTCTCACTTTCCATCACCCCGCCCCATTCTCCCTCTTTCCATCACCCCGCCTCGTTCTCCCGCTTTCCATCACCCCGCCCCATTCTCTCGCTTTCCATCAACCCGCCGCATTCTCCCTCTTTCCATCACCCAGCCCCATTCTCCCTTTTTCCATTACCCTGCACCGTTCTCCCTCTTTCCATCACCCCGCCCCGTTCTCCCTCTTTCCATCACCCCGCCCCATTCTCCCGCTTTCCATCACCGCGCCCCTTTTTCTCTCTTTCCATCACCCCGCCCCATTCTTCCTCTTTCCATCACCCCGCCCCATTCTCCCTCTTTCCATCACCCAGCCCCATTCTTCCGCTTCCCATCACCCCGCCCCGTTCTCCCGCTTTCCATCACCCCGCCCCATTCTCCCGCTTTCCATCAACCCGCCGCATTCTCCCTCTTTCCATCACCCAGCCCCATTCTCCCTTTTTCCATTACCCTGCCCCGTTCTCCCTCTTTCCATCACCCCGCCCCGTTCTCCCTCTTTCCATCACCCCGCCCCATTCTCCCTCTTTCCATCACCTAGCCCCATCTCCCGCTTTCCATCACCCCGCCCCATTCTCCCTCTTTCCATCACCTAGCCCCATCTCCCGCTTTCCATCACCCAACCCCATTCTTCCTCTTTCCATCACCCCGCCCCATTCTCCCTCTTTCCATCACCCCGCCCCATTCTCCCTCTTTCCATCACCCCGCCCCATTCTCTCGCTTTCCATCACCCCGCCCCATTCTCCCTCTTTCCATCACCCCGCCCCATTCTCCCACTTTCCATCACCTCGCCCCTTTTTCTCACTTTCCATCACCCCGCCCCATTCTCCCTCTTTCCATCACCCCGCCCCATTCTCCCTCTTTCCATCACCCCGCCCCATTCTCCCACTTTCCATCACCCCGCCCCTTTTTCTCACTTTCCATCACCCCGCCCCATTCTCCCTCTTTCCATCACCCCGCCCCATTCTCCCTCTTTCCATCACCCAGCCCCATTCTCCCACTTTCCATCACCCCGCCCCGTTCTCCCACTTTCCATCACCCCGCCCCTTTTTCTCACTTTCCATCACCCCGCCCCATTCTCCCTCTTTCCATCACCCCGCCCCATTCTCCCTCTTTCCATCACCCAGCCCCATTCTCCCACTTTCCATCACCCCGCCCCATTCTCCCGCCTTCCATCACTCCGCCCCATTCTCCCTCTTTCCATCACCCAGCCCCATTCTCCTGCTGTCCATCACCCCGCCCCGTTCTCCCTCTTTGCATTTCCCCGCCCCGTTCTCCCTCTTTCCATCACCCCACCCCGTTCTCCCGCTTTCCATCACCCCGCCCCTTTCTCTCACTTTCCATCACCCCGCCCCATTCTCCCTCTTTCCATAACCCCGCCCCATTCTCCCTCTTTCCATCACCCCGCCCCATTCTCCCTCCTTCCATCACCCCACCTCATTCTCCCGATTTCCATCACCCCGCCCCATTCTCCCGCTTTCCATCACCCCGCCCCACTCTCCCGCTTTCCATCACCCCGCCCCATTCTCCCTCTTTCCATCACCCCGCCCCAGTCTCCCGTTTTCCATCAACCTCCCCATTCTCTTGCTTTCCATCAACCTGCCCCATTCTCCCGCTTTCCATCACCCCTCCCCATTCTCCCTCTTTCCATCACCCCTCCCCATTCTCCCTCTTTCCATCATCCCGCCCTTTTCTCCTGATTTCCATCACCCCGCCCCATTCTCCTGCTTTCCATCACCCCAACCCATTCTCCCGCTTTCCATCACCCCCCCCTATTCTCCCTCCTTCCATCATCCCGACCCATTCTCCCTCCTTCCATCACCCCGACCCATTCTCCCGCTTTTCGTCACCCCGCCCCATTCTCCCGCTTTTCGTCACCCCGCCCCATTCTCCCGCTTCCCATCACCCCGCCCCAATCTCCCGCTTTCCATCACCCCGCCCCATTCTTCTGCTTTCCATCACCCCGCCCCATTCTCCGTCCTTCTATCACCCCGCCCCATTCTCTTGCTTTCCATCACACCGCCTTGATCTCCCTCTTTCCATAACCCCGCCTCGTTCTCCCTCTTTCCATCACCCCGCCCCATTCTCCCGCTTTCCATCACCCCGCCCCTTTTTCTCACTTTCCATCACCCCGCCCCATTCTCCCTCTTTCCATCACCCCGCCCCATTCTCCCTCTTTCCATCACCCAGCCCCATTCTTCCGCTTCCCATCACCCCGCCCCGTTCTCCCGCTTTCCATCACCCCGCCCCATTCTCCCGCTTTCCATCAACCCGCCGCATTCTCCCTCTTTCCATCACCCAGCCCCATTCTCCCTTTTTCCATTACCCTGCCCCGTTCTCCCTCTTTCCATCACCCCGCCCCGTTCTCCCTCTTTCCATCACCCCGCCCCATTCTTCCGCTTTCCATCACCCAGCCCCATTCTCCCTCTTTCCATCACCCAACCCCATTCTCCCTCTTTCCATCACCCCGCCCCATTCTCCCTCTTTCCATCACCCCGCCCCATTCTCCCTCTTTCCATCACCCCGCCCCATTCTCTCGCTTTCCATCACCCCGCCCCATTCTCCCTCTTTCCATCACCCCGCCCCATTCTCCCACTTTCCATCACCCCGCCCCTTTTTCTCACTTTCCATCACCCCGCCCCATTCTCCCTGTTTCCATCACCCCGCCCCATTCTCCCTCTTTCCATCACCCAGCCCCATTCTCCCACTTTCCATCACCCCGCCCCATTCTCTCGCTTTCCATCACCCCGCCCCATTCTCCCTCTTTCCATCACCCCGCCCCATTCTCCAACTTTCCATCACCCCGCCCCTTTTTCTCACTTTCCATCACCCCGCCCCATTCTCCCTCTTTCCATCACCCCGCCCCGTTCTCCCGCTTTCCATCACCCCGCCCCTTTCTCCCGCTTTCCATCAACCCGCCGCATTCTCCCTCTTTCCATCACCCAGCCCCATTCTCCCTTTTTCCATTACCCTGCCCCGTTCTCCCTCTTTCCATCACCCCGCCCCGTTCTCCCTCTTTCCATCACCCCGCCCCATTCTCCCGCTTTCCATCACCCCGCCCCTTTTTCTCACTTTCCATCACCCCGCCCCATTCTCCCTCTTTCCATCACCCCGCCCCATTCTCCCTCTTTCCATCACCCAGCCCCATTCTTCCGCTTCCCATCACCCCGCCCCGTTCTCCCGCTTTCCATCACCCCGCCCCATTCTCCCGCTTTCCATCAACCCGCCGCATTCTCCCTCTTTCCATCACCCAGCCCCATTCTCCCTTTTTCCATTACCCTGCCCCGTTCTCCCTCTTTCCATCACCCCGCCCCGTTCTCCCTCTTTCCATCACCCCGCCCCATTCTCCCTCTTTCCATCACCCAGCCCCATCTCCCGCTTTCCATCACCCCGCCCCATTCTCCCTCTTTCCATAACCCCGCCCCTTTCTCCCGCTTTCCATCACCCCGCCCCATTCTCCTTCTTTCCATCGCCCCGCCCCATTCTCCCTCTTTTCATCACCCCGCCTCATTCTCCCTCTTTCCATCACCCCGCCCCATTCTCCCTCTTTCCATCACCCCGCCCCATTCTCTCGCTTTCCATCACCCCGCCCCATTCTCCCTCTTTCCATCACCCCGCCCCATTCTCCCACTTTCCATCACCCCGCCCCTTTTTCTCACTTTCCATCACCCCGCCCCATTCTCCCTCTTTCCATCACCCCGCCCCATTCTCCCTCTTTCCATCACCCCGCCCCATTCTCCCACTTTCCATCACCCCGCCCCTTTTTCTCACTTTCCATCACCCCGCCCCATTCTCCCTCTTTCCATCACCCCGCCCCATTCTCCCTCTTTCCATCACCCAGCCCCATTCTCACACTTTCCATCACCCCGCCCCATTCTCCCACTTTCCATCACCCCGCCCCTTTTTCTCACTTTCCATCACCGCGCCCCATTCTCCCTCTTTCCATCACCCCGCCCCATTCTCCCTCTTTCCATCACCCAGCCCCATTCTCCCACTTTCCATCACCCCGCCCCATTCTCCCGCCTTCCATCACTCCGCCCCATTCTCCCTCTTTCCATCACCCAGCCCCATTCTCCTGCTGTCCATCACCCCGCCCCACTCTCCCGCTTTCCATCACCCCGCCCCATTCTCCCTCTTTCCATCACCCCGCCCTAGTCTACCGTTTTCCATCAACCTCCCCATTCTCTTGCTTTCCATCAACCTGCCCCATTCTCCCGCTTTCCATCACCCCTCCCCATTCTCCCTCTTTCCATCACCCCGCCCCATTCTCCCTCTTTCCATCATCCCGCCCTTTTCTCCTGATTTACATCACCTCGCCCCATTCTCCTGCTTTCCATCACCCCACCCCATTCTCCCGCTTTCCATCACCCCCCCCTATTCTCCCTCCTTCCATCATCCCGACCCATTCTCCCTCCTTCCATCACCCCGACCCATTCTCCCGCTTTTCGTCACCCCGCCCCATTCTCCCGCTTTTCGTCACCCCGCCTCATTCTCCCGCTTCCCATCACCCCGCCCCAATCTCCCGCTTTCCATCACCCCGCCCCATTCTTCTGCTTTCCATCACCCCGCCCCATTCTCCGTCCTTCTATCACCCCGCCCCATTCTCTTGCTTTCCATCACACCGCCTTGATCTCCCTCTTTCCATAACCCCGCCTCGTTCTCCCTCTTTCCATCACCCCGCCCCATTCTCCCGCTTTCCATCACCCCGCCCCTTTTTCTCACTTTCCATCACCCCGCCCCATTCTCCCTCTTTCCATCACCCCGCCCCATTCTCCCTCTTTCCATCACCCAGCCCCATTCTTCCGCTTCCCATCACCCCGCCCCGTTCTCCCGCTTTCCATCACCCCGCCCCATTCTCCCGCTTTCCATCAACCCGCCGCATTCTCCCTCTTTCCATCACCCAGCCCCATTCTCCCTTTTTCCATTACCCTGCCCCGTTCTCCCTCTTTCCATCACCCCGCCCCGTTCTCCCTCTTTCCATCACCCCGCCCCGTTCTTCCGCTTTCCATCACCCAGCCCCATTCTCCCTCTTTCCATCACCCAACCCCATTCTTCCTCTTTCCATCACCCCGCCCCATTCTCCCTCTTTCCATCACCCCGCCCCATTCTCCCTCTTTCCATCACCCCGCCCCATTCTCTCGCTATCCATCACCCCGCCCCATTCTCCCTCTTTCCATCACCCCGCCCCATTCTCCCACTTTCCATCACCCCGCCCCTTTTTCTCACTTTCCATAACCCCGCCCCATTCTCCCTCTTTCCATCACCCCGCCCCATTCTCCCTCTTTCCATCACCCCGCCCCATTCTCCCACTTTCCATCAACCCGCCCCTTTTTCTCACTTTCCATCACCCCGCCCCATTCTCCCTCTTTCCATCACCCCGCCCCGTTCTCCCTCTTTCCATCACCCCGCCCCATTCTCCCACTTTCCATCACCCCGCCCCATTCACTCGCTTTCCATCACCCCGCCCCATTCTCCCTCTTTCCATCACCCCGCCCCATTCTCCCTCTTTCCATCACCCCGCCCCATTCTCCCACTTTCCATCAACCCGCCCCTTTTTCTCACTTTCCATCACCCCGCCCCGTTCTCCCTCTTTCCATCACCCCGCCCCGTTCTCCCTCTTTCCATCACCCCGCCCCATTCTCCCGCTTTCCATCACCCCGCCCCTTTTTCTCACTTTCCATCACCGCGCCCCATTCTCCCTCTTTCCATCACCCCGCCCCATTCTCCCTCTTTCCATCACCCAGCCCCATTCTCCCACTTTCCATCACCCCGCCCCATTCTCCCGCCTTCCATCACTCCGCCCCATTCTCCCTCTTTCCATCACCCAGCCCCATTCTCCTGCTGTCCATCACCCCGCCCCACTCTCCCGCTTTCCATCACCCCGCCCCATTCTCCCTCTTTCCATCACCCCGCCCCAGTCTCCCGTTTTCCATCAACCTCCCCATTCTCTTGCTTTCCATCAACCTGCCCCATTCTCCCGCTTTCCATCACCCCTCCCCATTCTCCCTCTTTCCATCACCCCGCCCCATTCTCCCTCTTTCCATCATCCCGCCCTTTTCTCCTGATTTCCATCACCCCGCCCCATTCTCCTGCTTTCCATCACCCCACCCCATTCTCCCGCTTTCCATCACCCCCCCCTATTCTCCCTCCTTCCATCATCCCGACCCATTCTCCCTCCTTCCATCACCCCGACCCATTCTCCCGCTTTTCGTCACCCCGCCCCATTCTCCCGCTTTTCGTCACCCCGCCTCATTCTCCCGCTTCCCATCACCCCGCCCCAATCTCCCGCTTTCCATCACCCCGCCCCATTCTTCTGCTTTCCATCACCCCGCCCCATTCTCCGTCCTTCTATCACCCCGCCCCATTCTCTTGCTTTCCATCACACCGCCTTGATCTCCCTCTTTCCATAACCCCGCCTCGTTCTCCCTCTTTCCATCACCCCGCCCCATTCTCTCGCTTTCCATCACCCCGCCCCTTTTTCTCACTTTCCATCACCCCGCCCCATTCTCCCTCTTTCCATCACCCCGCCCCATTCTCCCTCTTTCCATCACCCAGCCCCATTCTTCCGCTTCCCATCACCCCGCCCCGTTCTCCCGCTTTCCATCACCCCGCCCCATTCTCCCGCTTTCCATCAACCCGCCGCATTCTCCCTCTTTCCATCACCCAGCCCCATTCTCCCTTTTTCCATTACCCTGCCCCGTTCTCCCTCTTTCCATCACCCCGCCCCGTTCTCCCTCTTTCCATCACCCCGCCCCGTTCTTCCGCTTTCCATCACCCAGCCCCATTCTCCCTCTTTCCATCACCCAACCCCATTCTCCCTCTTTCCATCACCCCGCCCCATTCTCCCTCTTTCCATCACCCCGCCCCATTCTCCCTCTTTCCATCACCCCGCCCCATTCTCTCGCTATCCATCACCCCGCCCCATTCTCCCTCTTTCCATCACCCCGCCCCATTCTCCCACTTTCCATCACCCCGCCCCTTTTTCTCACTTTCCATAACCCCGCCCCATTCTCCCTCTTTCCATCACCCCGCCCCATTCTCCCTCTTTCCATCACCCCGCCCCATTCTCCCACTTTCCATCAACCCGCCCCTTTTTCTCACTTTCCATCACCCCGCCCCATTCTCCCTCTTTCCATCACCCCGCCCCATTCTCCCTCTTTCCATCACCCAGCCCCATTCTCCCACTTTCCATCACCCCGCCCCATTCACTCGCTTTCCATCACCCCGCCCCATTCTCCCTCTTTCCATCACCCCGCCCCATTCTCCAACTTTCCATCACCCCGCCCCTTTTTCTCACTTTCCATCACCCCGCCCCATTCTCCCTCTTTCCATCACCCCGCCCTGTTCTCCCGCTTTCCATCACCCCGCCCCATTCTCCCGCTTTCCATCAACCCGCCGCATTCTCCCTCTTTCCATCACCCAGCCCCATTCTCCCTTTTTCCATTACCCTGCCCCGTTCTCCCTCTTTCCATCACCCCGCCCCGTTCTCCCTCTTTCCATCACCCCGCCCCATTCTCCCGCTTTCCATCACCCCGCCCCTTTTTCTCACTTTCCATCACCCCGCCCCATTCTCCCTCTTTCCATCACCCCGCCCCATTCTCCCTCTTCCCATCACCCAGCCCCATTCTTCCGCTTCCCATCACCCCGCCCCGTTCTCCCGCTTTCCATCACCCCGCCCCATTCTCCCGCTTTCCATCAACCCGCCGCATTCTCCCTAATTCCATCACCCAGCCCCATTCTCCCTTTTTCCATTACCCTGCCCCGTTCTCCCTCTTTCCATCACCCCGCCCCGTTCTTCCTCTTTCCATCACCCCGCCCCATTCTCCCTCTTTCCATCACCCAGCCCCATCTCCCGCTTTCCATCACCCCGCCCCATTCTCCCTCTTTCCATAACCCCGCCCCTTTCTCCCGCTTTCCATCACCCCGCCCCATTCTCCTTCTTTCCATCGCCCCGCCCCATTCTCCCTCTTTCCATCACCTCGCTCCATTCTCCCGCTTTCCATCACTCCGCCCCATTCTCCCTCTTTCCATCGCCCCGCTGCATTCTTCCTCTTTCCATCACCCAGCCCCATTCTCCCTCTTTCCATCACCCAACCCCATTCTCCCTCTTTCCATCACCCCGCCCCATTCTCCCTCTTTCCATCACCCCGCCCCATTCTCCCTCTTTCCATCACCCCGCCCCATTCTCTCGCTTTCCATCACCCCGCCCCATTCTCCCTCTTTCCATCACCCCGCCCCATTCTCCCACTTTCCATCACCCCGCCCCTTTTTCTCACTTTCCATCACCCCGCCCCATTCTCCCTCTTTCCATCACCCCGCCCCATTCTCCCTCTTTCCATCACCCCGCCCCATTCTCCCACTTTCTATCACCCCGCCCCATTTTCTCACTTTCCATCACCCCGCCCCATTCTCTCTCTTTCCATCACCCCGCCCCATTCTCCCTCTTTCCATCACCCAGCCCCATTCTCCCACTTTCCATCACCCCGCCCCATTCTCTCGCTTTCCATCACTCCGCCCCATTCTCCCTCTTTCCATCGCCCCGCCGCATTCTTCCCGCCTTCCATCACTCCGCCCCATTCTCCCTCTTTCCATCACCCAACCCCATTCTCCCTCTTTCCATCACCCCGCCCCATTCTCCCTCTTTCCATCACCCCGCCCCATTCTCCCTCTTTCCATCACCCCGCCCCATTCTCTCGCTTTCCATCACCCCGCCCCATTCTCCCTCTTTCCATCACCCCGCCCCATTCTCCCACTTTCCATCACCCCGCCCCTTTTTCTCACTTTCCATCACCCCGCCCCATTCTCCCTCTTTCCATCACCCCGCCCCATTCTCCCTCTTTCCATCACCCCGCCCCATTCTCCCACTTTCCATCACCCCGCCCCTTTTTCTCACTTTCCATCACCCCGCCCCATTCTCCCTCTTTCCATCACCCCGCCCCATTCTCCCACTTTCCATCACCCCGCCCCTTTTTCTCACTTTCCATCACCCCGCCCCATTCTCCCTCTTTCCATCACCCCGCCCCATTCTCCCTCTTTCCATCACCCAGCCCCATTCTCCCACTTTCCATCACCCCGCCCCATTCTCTCGCTTTCCATCACCCCGCCCCATTCTCCCTCTTTCCATCACCCCGCCCCATTCTCCAACTTTCCATCACCCCGCCCCTTTTTCTCACTTTCCATCACCCCGCCCCATTCTCCCTCTTTCCATCACCCCGCCTCGTTCTCCCGCTTTCCATCACCCCGCCCCATTCTCTCGCTTTCCATCAACCCGCCGCATTCTCCCTCTTTCCATCACCCAGCCCCATTCTCCCTTTTTCCATTACCCTGCCCCGTTCTCCCTCTTTCCATCACCCCGCCCCGTTCTCCCTCTTTCCATCACCCCGCCCCATTCTCCCGCTTTCCATCACCCCGCCCCTTTTTCTCTCTTTCCATCACCCCGCCCCATTCTTCCTCTTTCCATCACCCCGCCCCATTCTCCCTCTTTCCATCACCCAGCCCCACTCTTCCGCTTCCCATCACCCCGCCCCGTTCTCCCGCTTTCCATCACCCCGCCCCATTCTCCCGCTTTCCATCAACCCGCCGCATTCTCCCTCTTTCCATCACCCAGCCCCATTCTCCCTTTTTCCATTACCCTGCCCCGTTCTCCCTCTTTCCATCACCCCGCCCCGTTCTCCCTCTTTCCATCACCCCGCCCCATTCTCCCTCTTTCCATCACCTAGCCCCATCTCCCGCTTTCCATCACCCCGCCCCATTCTCCCTCTTTCCATAACCCTGCCCCTTTCTCCCGCTTTCCATCACCCCGCCCCATTCTCCTTCTTTCCATCGCCCCGCCCCATTCTCCCTCTTTCCATCACCTCGCTCCATTCTCCCGCTTTCCATCACTCCGCCCCATTCTCCCTCTTTCCATCGCCCCGCCGCATTCTTCCTCTTTCCATCACCCTGCCCCATTCTCTCTCTTTCCATCACCCAACCCCATTCTCCCTCTTTCCATCACCCCGCCCCATTCTCCCTCTTTCCATCACTCCGCCCCATTCTCCCTCTTTCCATCACCCCGCCCCATTCTCTCGCTTTCCATCACCCCGCCCCATTCTCCCTCTTTCCATCACCCCGCCCCATTCTCCCACTTTCCATCACCCCGCCCCTTTTTCTCACTTTCCATCACCCCGCCCCATTCTCCCTCTTTCCATCACCCCGCCCCATTCTCCCTCTTTCCATCACCCCGCCCCATTCTCCCACTTTCCATCACCCCGCCCCTTTTTCTCACTTTCCATCACCCCGCCCCATTCTCCCTCTTTCCATCACCCCGCCCCATTCTCCCTCTTTCCATCACCCAGCCCCATTCTCCCACTTTCCATCACCCCGCCCCATTCTCCCACTTTCCATCACCCCGCCCCTTTTTCTCACTTTCCATCACCCCGCCCCATTCTCCCTCTTTCCATCACCCCGCCCCATTCTCCCTCTTTCCATCACCCAGCCCCATTCTCCCACTTTCCATCACCCCGCCCCATTCTCCCGCCTTCCATCACTCCGCCCCATTCTCCCTCTTTCCATCACTCAGCCCCATTCTCCTGTTGTCCATCACCCCGCCCCGTTCTCCCTCGTTGCATTTCCCCGCCCCGTTCTCCCTCTTTCCATCACCCCACCCCGTTCTCCCACTTTCCATCACCCCGCCCCATTCTCCCGCTTTCCATCACCCCGCCCCATTCTCCCGCTTTCTATCACCCCGCCCCGTTCTCCCTCTTTCCATCACCCCGCCCTGTTCTCCCTCTTTCCATCACCCCGCCCCATTCTCCCTCTTTCCATCACCCTGCCGCATTCTCCCTTTTTCCATCACCCCGCCCCATTCTCCCTCTTTCCATCGCCCCGCCCCATTCTCCCTCTTTCCATCACCCCGCCCCATTCTCCCTCTTTCCATCATCCCGCCCCATTCTCCCTCTTTCCATCACCCCGCCCCATTCTCCCTCTTTCCATCATCCCGCCCCATTCTCCCTTTTTCCATCACCCCGCCCCATTCTCCCTCTTTCCATCGCCCCGCCCCATTCTCCCTCTTTCCATCACCCCGCCCCATTCTCCCTCTTTCCATCATCCCGCCCCATTCTCCCACTTTCCATCACCCCTGGGGTTCGTGCGGTTCCCTTCAGATGATTTCAAGGAACATAGGTTTGCGTATGGCTTGCACCCCGGTGCGTTCAATGACGGGTGGTTGTGCGGTATGTACAGGGGATTATGGTAAATTGTGCAGACAGCCAGTTACCCATGCACTTGAGGGTTTTCACATGAAATCTGCAACTTGTTTATTGCCTCATGCATCATCTTTTAAACCATTGCTCGATACTCTAATTTCTAACCCTCGTGTATTCCCTCCCTGAACTGAACACATTTCCCCGAAAGGCCTCTGCAACTGCAATGCTCAGTAAAACCACACTACTGCTGGTCAGAGTTAATGACAGGGCATCAGGTAGCAGTCTTGATCTGAAAGCGTGACAGTGTTTGCATGAGATGGGTGACTTGGAGATAACTCTCTATGGTGCGGCGCAGAGATATGATGGAGCCAACCTGGTGTCACACACACACTGCAGTTAGACACCCACCCAACATGCCGCCTGGCCTGGGCCCAAATGATTAGGCAGGAAACGGACTGGATGGTGGATAAGAGACATGCAGGATAGCAGGGATTCCAGGATGGAGACATTAAGTTACAATCACTATGAACTCACAATGATCAGAAGTGATGTGAAAGCTATGGAGATCCCTGAGATTCGGTAGACAAACAGACTAAGTGCTGATGATGCAGACGCCATGGATGCTAGCAGCACACCACCTGGTGAGGAGAGAGCACAAAGAATGGTGAGGGAAGAGCACAAGGAATGGTGAGGGAAGAGCACAAGGAATGGTGAGGGAAGAGCACAAGGAATGGTGAGGGAAGAGCACAAGGAATGGTGAGGGAAGAGCACAAGGAATGGTGAGGGAAGAGCACAAGGAATGGTGAGGGAAGAGCACAAGGAATGGTGAGGGAAGAGCACAAGGAATGGTGAGGGAAGAGCACAAGGAATGGTGAGGGAAGAGCACAAGGAATGGTGAGGGGAGGGCACAAGGAATGGTGAGGGGACTGCATGAGGGCAGAGCACCAGAAAACGTAGTAGCAGGTGGTGATGTGAGGGTACTCCCTTGTAATAAACCGCTGCCAGCACATTCACAGCTGCCAGGCCACCGTCCACCGCTCTCCTACTGCTGCCACACTGACCGCTCCCAGTGTAACCATCTCCCCTGACCCATCGCAGTGGCGGCCCATGGAGACAGGAATGGGACCACGTTGGTGCGGTGGGGAGTGGCGGGCAAGACAGGGGGGCAGAGTGGGAGGCGAAGGAGAGAGGGCTGTGCAGAGTGCGGGACTTTGGGGGGGGCGAGAGTGGAGTAAGGACACACCAAGGAAGCGAGTGGAGTCACGTGCGTCTCTGAGGAACTCGGCTGTCTCCGCCCCTGGCCTCACATGCCGCACCCTCGCCCCTATCGCCACCAGACTGTCCGCTATGTCCTTTATCGTGTCGTCCTGGTGCCATGCATGCACACACGTGCACGCGCGCGCACATACACACAAACACACACACACACACGTACAGACACACATATACACAGACACACACACGTACACACACATGGCACACACACACAGACGCGCACAAACATAGGCGCGCACATACACAGTTCTACATACACACGGACAAGCGCGCACATATGCACACGCACCAAAACATCCGCATATGCACAACACCCCCTCTCCCACACGCACACATGACATGCACACACCCGCATGGGGTATGCACAAACATCCAGGTAAGAAGCAGGAAGTGGATGTGGGCAAGTGTGGTGTGGTGCATGCAGCAGAGTGCATGTGCGGAGGAAGCGAATGCCTGCTGCACTAAACCATGTGCAAAGTGCAATAGGCAGCAGTGCGGCAGTAGGGGCGAGCAGCACACCAGGTCGTATATGTTGAAGAGAATGGTGATGAGGAACACGGCTGTGTGGCCCAGTGCGCGCAGGTGCAGGGGAGCAGCAGCCACGTTGTACCCACCCACCTCCCTGCACACACACGCACGGCCGGCTCAATGCTCACATGAACACACGGAATGCCACATGCACTGCCTTGCCGGCACCCATGCAGCACTGCAAGGGACCTTTTGGGTGCAGCGCACGGGAGGAAAGAAAGGCCATGATGAGGTTGTAGTGCATGAAGACACTCTCACACACGCCCTGCGCTGTGCTGCCATGCTTCTGCTGTGCACGTGCCAAATGAAGCTTCAATAAGCTGAGCATTCTGCCCTAGGAGATACGCCCTGCGCAGCACAGCACAAGCAGCACGCACCGGAGAATCATGGTGACGGAGGAGGCGAGCAGGGAGGCGTTGAAGACGGGGTACATGCCCTGGGGGATGAGCGGGAACGGCACCACTGGCTGCACCTGCGCCCTCTCCTCCCTGCACCCGTGGCACGCACATTTGGGTAGATGCACGGGGAGTGGTGAACGTATGCACCAGACGCACGTGTGGTTTTACAAAGAGAGACAGATGGGTCAACATACAGAGAGGAGAGGGAAGGAACGGGGGACACAAGGTGAAAAGATGAGAGGAGGGTAGGTGCTGGGATAACAATGCATGGCGAGGAGGGCGGCGCGGAGAGGCGTGGTACAGAGAGGGCGTGGTGATGTTGAAGTCAAAGTAGAGCAGCGGCACACGGCGCACCCCCCCCACGAGCCATGCAGCCGCGAAGGTGGTGAGCACAAAGAGCGTGAGCAGCAGCGCCAGCAGTGCCGCCACGTGTGGGTCCGACAGCAGACGCTCTGCGCTTGCTCCACACCGCGTTTGGTGTTGGAGGGCGGGAAGAGAACGGGGGGGGGCAGGGGCGCATGCAAGGCAAAGTGAAGTGAGGCAAGCACATTGGTGACAAGAGCACTGAGGCCATTAGAGTGCACGGCACCAGGGTGGCTAGGTGAGAGGGGCAGTGTGGGCGAGTGGTGGTGGAGAGCAGGTGGCGTGGAGTGTGGTCAGGGCAGTGGCGCAGCGACCTTTGAAGAGGGCGAGGGCGGGCTGCAGCGATGCTGTGAAGCCCGACAGGATGCTCAGACAGATGAGCAGCGAGTAGCCCTCGCCTGCCATGTGCGGGGGTAGAAAAGGGCACATGGTGGTGATGGCGAGGAGAAGACAGGGCGCATGGTGGTGATGGCGAGGAGAAGACAGGGCGCAGTGACTCAAACAGCCGTGCTTACGACATGGAGCAAGCTCTGCAGCACAGTACACCATGGCATGGCATGGCATGGCATGGCACAGACAGGCAGAGAGGCTTGGAGAGGGCGGGGCGGGGAGGGTGTTACCGAGGCCGAACTTGGTGATGGCGGAGCAGAGGCCCTGCAGCAGGGTGGAGCCCGCCGCCAGGGCCAGGGACGCGCGCAGGAACGACGGCAGCCACACTCTGGCAAGGGAGGGGGCACACGCATGCAGAGGGAGAGGGGTGATGCATGTGAAGGGCGTGAGGGCTTGAGGCATCCAAGATGCAGCTTGAGGGCGGTCGGGAAGGGGATGAGCCTTGCAGGTGCACATGAGTTAGAGGTGTGGTGGAAGCACATGGGGCGCAGAGCAGCGCACCTGAGGGCGCCAGAGCAGTCCATGGACGTCCATGCTGTGAGCCCGCCAAACACCACCGCCAGCCCCGCTGACACGTAGAAGCTGCACGGGGGGGGGATGGAGAGACACGCCGAGAAGGGTGAGAGGAGAGATGCAAGGGCGAATGCCAGATGTCACAATCAGAACGGAAATGACAGGAGAGTGAGTATGGGTGAGTGTAAGAAGCGAGTTGTTTGAAAAGGTGCATGCGTGCGCACTGACGTGTATCGTTGGATGAGTGCAGCACCCCTTGAACCCTCGTTGCGCAGGTTGTTGAGATGCGGTGAGATGCGCAGCGCCAACACCACCTGGTCGTACACGTGCGCGCGCGCGCGCGCACAGACACACACACACACAGCGAAGTGCGCACAGGGGGTAAGTGTCACGATGACATGCAGAGGGGTTCGTGAGAGAACGAGAAGGCCAATAGTGGGTGACGGGGAGGCACTGGGTGAGAGAGAGTTGCGTGAGGGAAGGGCGGTGGCACCTGAAGGATGATGGAGGCGAATATGTGCGGTGTAATGCCCAGAGCGAACAGGTTGATGGGACCTCCCGGTGATGCCACCTCCAGATCCAACCCTGCCCCACCGCACCACACCACATGGCACCTCATCATCACATGTCCTCAAAACGGTTCCATGAGCAAAACATAGGACGGCAGAGAACAGCAAGCAGCAGCAGCCCCTAGCGCGGCCCCCTCTCCCCTCCCCTCTCCCCCCTCACCGGCGGCCATGAGCAGCGGGTGGTCGTGGGTGGCAGTGCTGGCCTCCTTGAGGCCCGCCAGCGGCACGGCATACCCCACGCGGGACAGCGCCAGCAGGGCCGTGGTGACGAGTGCGCGGCGGGCGAGCTCGTCGCGGAACAGCCGGTCCACAGCGCGCTCCACGTGCGTCTGCCACATCGCCACCGCCAGGAACAAGTTCTTGTATGCCCGCCCGCTGCCGCCCCCATCTCCCCGCCCCCATGCGCGCCCCCCCGCCTGTGCCGCCCAGGGCGGCCCCTCTGCACCGCGTGGCGCTGCTTGTGGCTGGCTTCGCGCTTGCGTGCGTGGTGACGCGGCGGGGGCGAGCTGCGTGGCAGAGGGAACGGGCGCCGTCGCTGCGCCATTGGACGACGATGCAGAGGCGCTGCTGCGCGCATGCTCGTGCTCGTGATCTTGTTGATCCGCTGTTCTACTGATGCTTTCGCCGTCGCTTGCTTGCGCCCTCGCCTCCCCCACGCCTGCTTGCACCTCTCCTCGCCCCAGCGCCTGCACGCTCACCTGCAGCATTGCCTCCGCCACCTCTCGCGGAATCCCGCCACCCTCCCACCCTACCCCGCCCACCCCCCCACCCTCGTCGTCACGTGTCTCCGCCTCTGTCTGCCCTTCCCCCACCGCCTCGTCTCCAACCGTCCCTCCTCCATCCGCCGCCCGCGCCTGCGGATCGTCCGCGCCCCAACCGTTCGCCCTCTCGTGCTCCGCCGAACCTACTCGCCCCTCCTCCCCGCGTCCCGCGCTAGCAGCACGCACTTCAACCGGTCTATACCGTTGCCTATCGCCGCCCCTACAGCGCCCCGCCCGGCTTCCTTCCGCCATGCCGCTCCACCACCGCCCACATTTTTCGCGCGATGTCCCTTGCGCCCAACCTCTGTGCGCCGCCAATACGCCTCCCCGCGCGTGGCTCAGCGCGGACCAGCGGAGTGCGGGAGGCGCGTGGATGGCAGTGCGGACGTTGATCCGGATCGGGGGATGGTAACGGGCGCGCGGGGACGAGGGGGAGGAGAGGAAAGCGGGGCGGAGAAGGGGAGGCGGGGGACGGATTCCCCGCGCCAGCACGTCCATGGGAGGCGCGCGCTCGTCTAGCGCAACGCGAGGTGAGATGAGGGCTCCGGGAGGGCTGTGCGCGCAGTGAAAGGTGGAGCAGGCGGGAGAGGTACGCGGCCGCGATGAGGAACGGGCAAGATACGGGCTGACAGCCTGCTGGCCAAGTCAGTCGTTTGTGCTGGCGCTTGACGGAGAGCAGTTACAAGTACCAGATGGCGGTACGATGATGAGCTTCACCTACAAGGTGTCTCATTTACACAAGTTCTGGATCAAACATGATTCTACCGGTACTATGTACCAACATCACAAAGCTGCTTGTTGGACAAATTTGTGAGGCACCCCCTGTCACACAACATAATTTGTGTGGCCATTTTTAACGAACTGTCGAGAAAAATATTATGGTAATATATTCTATTGACATATAGTCGCATTATGTACTTTCCGGTAGGAACGGAGTGACCTTGCTTCTCAACGGCTCTGGCAGTGTAGCAATGCTCTCCAATATCTCCTGCAGCAAGCAGCGAGCAGGCGCATGAGCAGGAATGGCGAAAGGGGCACGTGCCAGGGCCAACCGACGGCAACTCGTGGCGCGAGCAGTGCATGGGCGCGGGTGAGGGGGGTGGTGTACTGACATGGCGGTTGTATCGCGCTGAGAAGTGGATGAAGAGAATGGCCTCGTTCTGAAACATGTGCGCCAGAGGGCGCAGCTGGGGGATGGCACCACGGCACCACGGCACAGAGGGCATGTGTGGGCCAAGGGCATCAAGAGGGACTAGACGTTTTGTGCAACTGCTGTTGACACAAAAATTAAGGCCAGTTTCGCCAGCATAAACAAGAGGACGGGAAGAAGACAAGGGCGGGTAATTAGAAGAGGTGAGAGAGCGAGATGAGAAAGCTTGCCTCGTTGATGTGAATGTGGCCGAACTTCCTTGCATGCTCTATGGTGACCGAGTCATCAATGAACGTCACCTGCACGCACCAGCAGCATGCAGCAAGGGATGAGGGCTGGACGTTGAGCACACATGCACTTGAACGAGATGGAGCAACCCAATCAGAGCAGCACGTGGGTGTCGTAGCAGTGAGCGCGCGTGCTTGCCCCCTGGTGGCATGGCATGGACGTGTGGCGGGGAGGGGCAGACCTCCATGATGAGCAGCTTGGCGCGCAGCACATGAGCGTTGGCAGGGTCCGTAATGAACTCCGCTGTTGTGTCGCCTGTGAACGCCACCTCGCCCACCTCCACCTCCTCCGTTATCTGCCTCCCATGCCATGCCATGCCACCACATGCCACACCATGCCATGCCAGGCCATGTCATGCCATGCCACACCATGCCATGCCACGCAATGCCACGTCATGTGATGCTGTGCTACACCATAACATGTCATGCCATGTCACGGCATGGGATCAAGCAGTGAATGGAACACACACAGCAAATCACACAACCACTGCCTTTCAGGACAGAGTCCCACAGCACTTCTGCTGGTACATGCAAGACGGAAGCAATGCTGCACAAAAATCGCGCGCTGCCCATAGTTGACTGCTGTGCACTTGCCTGTGTGCCGGCATCCTTGAGTCGCTTGATCTCAGCGCCTGGCAAGCCCTGGTACTGCGGCAGCAGCTTGTGCCTGCGAGACGAGATCAAATAGCCCTGGGGGTCACGGGTGTAACACATTTGTGACACGGGGAGGCGCATGGGCGCAGGAGAGCTGGGAAGATGAGGAGCTGAGAAGGAGTGGGGGAAGCGCGAGGCCCAAAGGTGGACTGGTGGAGCACACGATGCGAGCAGCAGTGGGTGCAGAGGCAGGAACAGCAGGTCATGCTCACAGCTGGCAACAGGCGCAGTGGATGGTGGAGCGGGTGGCGAGAGCAGCCAGGGCAGCATCCAGCCATCAACTCCAGGGTACCATGCCTCCATCCATGCACACACCAACCCCCCCCAGCACCATCACCGCTGCCCGGGTGAGCCTCTGTCCTCCCCTGCATCACCGTGAGCACTGACCTGGCTGGGCAGCACGTGGTACGTGGTGAACGGCTGCACCACATAGCCCTTCTTCACCCACATCTCCTCGCCCACCTGCTGCCATGCACACGCGCACACACATGCGCACGCCACCAAGCATGAGACGCACGCATGCTGGTGCGCACCGTGGACGGGACTCATGCTCCCAACATGCAGAGCCACACAGAGGCTGGCAAGGGGAGCGGTGACAGGTAGGCGCGACAGCAAGAGCATGGCAGGGGGGGCGAGGCAGGGAGGCATGGCAGGGGGGCGTGACCTGGAGGGGTATGAGTTGGAGGGGCAGGGTGCTGCCGTCGAGTTGCTGGAAGCACTGTATCATGGCCGTCACGCCCTGCACGGCCGATGGCGGCACCACCACTGTGGGCGGCGCCAGTGAGAACAGCCCCCTCGTCGCCACGTGGAACGCCAGCCCGCCCTGCATGCACCCGCATGCCGTTGGGGGGGGTTGGCGGTCGGGGTGGGTGGTGGAGGAAAGGGGGAGGACGAAAGGGGGAGTGGAAAGGGGATGAGCCGACGTATGGGGGCATGGCGGGCTCACGCTGCGCAATGCCAGGAAAGATCCAGCCGTGCGTGAAGCGTGTAACGGGTATGCGGCGAGGCAGCGAGGGGCAGGGCAGGGCGGGGCGGGGCACGGACCACGTGGTCGATGTGCGTGTGGGAGATGAGCACGGTGTCCTGGAACACAGCGCGTGCAGGGCACCTGCCGATGTCAAACGCCACGCGCATGCTCGGTATTATCACACACGTCTCCTGCCCGCCCACCGACACGCCCTCCACCTCGTACCCCCCCACCACCATGCCCGCGCCCCGCTTGCCCTTGCTCCGCTGCTCTCCCCCGCCCCCTTCATCCCCCCTGCCATCGCCTGCACTCTCGCCCTTTTCCCTTCCGCCTCCCTTCTTTCCCTTGCCCCGCTTCTCGCTGCCCCTTGCCCCTACAGCAGGGGGCAACTCCTCCCCCGCGCCTGTCCGCGCCGTCGCCGCACCCGTCACCGCCGTCCCCTCCCCTTGGTCGCCCGTCTTCCCCTCGCTTCCCCCTCGTTCCCCGCCCTCGCCAATCGTTCGCGCAGCTCCGTTCGACTCACATCGGCTTTCCCCCTCCACCGCTACGCCTGTCGCTGCTTCCGCCCGGGCGCCAGCCGCCTCCGCGCCAAAGCCGCTCATTCCGCGCATGCCACTGGTGCGCCCCTCGTTCCCCTGGCTGAGTGAGCGCGCGGAATCCAGTCGCCCGTTGGACACGCAGTGCGGCGGGGCGCAGCAGGCGGAAGGGGCGCGGGCAAATGGTGGGGAGGGAGGTGGGGCGGGTCGGATGTAGCAGGTGGCGGCGATGCGCCGCGTCCGGAGGAGAGACGGAATGAGACGGCGCGAGGGGCGACTGGGGAGGGACGCAGGAGGAAACGAAGAGCAGAGGGAGAAAGAGCGGAGATACGGTGGGGGGTGGAGGGGCAACAGCCGAAGTGCCACGTGGCAACGGACGGGATGAAGGATGTGCGACATTCGAGCAGGAGCGGAAACTTGAGACAAACGCAAGGCAGACTATGGGTCGATGTGGGTGGGGTGAGTGAATACCGGACCTGGATGGAAATGAATGGACTCAGCAACACGCAATGCACATAAATAAATGCCAAACACATTTGAACTTCTTTTACATCTGTCTCAGGTTAATCAGGATTATCAAGGTTAGCATACACAGCGTTAGTGAGACAACTGGGCACTTGCAATGGCGCAAGGTTCATGATGACCTCAAACATTAGAAGCCGGATCTCGGCTCACAAATACCACATGCAATGAATGGAATTCTGTGGACATATCGAGGCACTTGTGGTGGTGGTACCGTACTGGGTGGATTGACAAGCAGCTGTGCTGTCGTGCACAAATGGGTGCCCAGTCGCCCTGCTGCTCTCTCAGCCATTGAACCGCCCCAGCTGCTGCTGCAGGGCCTGCAGCGCCATGTCGCCATTCCCCTGCCCTGAGGCCTGCAGCAGCCACTGTGCCACCCCTCCCCCCGAACCGGACTGCTGCTGCAGCAGCGCCAGCAGCTGCTGCTGTGCGTGTGCCTGAGGCTGCTCTGTGTGCGCCCTCTGCTGTGATTGCTGCTGTGCTTGCTGCTGCCCTTGCACCCACTGCTGCAGTGCCTGCTGCTGCTGCACCTGCTGCTGGGGAAGCTGCACCTGCACGCCATTACCCACCATTCCTCCCCCCTGTCGCACGCCCGTCTCCCACTGTGCCGGGAGGAAGGAGTGCTGTGACACTGCTGCGCCTGCCCCTGCCTCCCTGCCGTCCCCCGGCCCCACACCTGCACTGCATGTGGCAGCAGCCGATGCAGCAGGCCCATGAGTGGAGCCTTGCTGCCTCACGGCCGCCAGCCACTCATGGCTCGCATGGGGCCCACGCACACTGCTGCCACCCTGCCCCCCTCCCAGCAGCGCAGCCAGGGAGTTGATGACAGCAGCGCTGCTGCCAGGCACTGTGCCGCTTGCATCACCGGTCGCCCCAAAGAAGCCTCCCCCCACGCCATGCATGGCCTGCCCTGCATTCCCCATCAACAACGACAGCTGCTGCTGCTGCTGCCTTGCTTGCTGCTGCTGTAGCTGTTGCTGATGCTGTTGCTGCTGTTGGTGCTGCTGTTGCTGCTGTTGCTGGTGGTGTTGCAGCAGCAGTTGTACGACAGTGGCGGCATCAGTGCCACCCATCCCTGCCAGCAGCCCGTGAATCACGTTCCCTGCATTGTTCTTCTCCTCCCCACCCACCTTCGCCAGAAGCGCTGCAAGGAGCCCCTCACCACCTGTGTCATGCGCGTTCCACCCCTGCCCTTGCAACACTGCCTGTACCTGTGATTGTGCATGCGCCTGCGCCTGTGCCTGCGCTGGTGTCTGCAGCAGCGCTGCCAAGGGCAGCATGCCGCCCTGCGCCAGGGCGAGCAGCAGCTGCTGCCTCTGCTCCGGGGCCACTGACAGCAGCGCCTGCCTCACCGCCTCCGCCTGCCTCAAATGCATCTGCTGCTGCGCCTCCGCCTGCTGTTGCACGGCCAGCAGCAGCAGCTTATCCGCGATCCCCACCCGGCTCCCTGCTGCTGCTGCCGCCGCCACCTGTGCTGCAGCTGCTGCTGCGGCTGCATCTCCCCCATCTGCCATGTGCCTCTCCCCACCCGGCCCTCCTCCTGCCGTGCCTGCAGCAGCAGCATGTGCATTGGCAGCAATGAGCCCCAGCAGCAGCCTCTGAGCGTCGCTGCCCACCGCATTGCCTGTAGGGGCGCTGCTTTGCTGCAGCCTCTCCGCCAGACCTTGCTGCTGCATGTGTTGCACCACTTGCCCTGCCACGCCTGCACCACCACCAGCAGCAGCAGGCCCGGCACAAGGCGGTAGTGCCGCTGCGCCTGCATGCTGCCACTGCTGTGACACCGTTTCCTTGCCCGCCTGCCTCCCCACACCACCATTCACTGCCTCTCCATGCCCTCCACGCTCCTCGCTTTTAACGCTCCACGTGTCTGCTCGCTCGCCCCCATGCCTCGCACTGCCCCCGCTTGCAGCAGCAACCACCTGCTGGCCAGGCCGTATAGGGCTCTGTGTGGCTCTCGCCCGCTTGCTCCACTCCTCGCCCCCGCCATGCCCCGTTCCACCGGTCCCAACTGCTCCCTCGCTGCCATCGCTCAGCACGCCCCCCGCCGCCCCCACAGCCGCGCCCATGGCACGATCCACGCCCGCATACCCCGCCAGGGGCTGCCACTCCGCGAGCGCGGGGTGGGGGAAGTTGGTGCGCGCCTTGGGCCCGCGCAGCTTGATGGCCGCGCGGTCGTACGCGCGCGCCGCCTCCTCGGGGGTGCTGAACGTGCCCAGCCACACGCGTGAGCGCTTCTTCGGGTACCGGATCTCTGCCACCCACCGGTTCTCATGCCTCTGCCTCACCCCGCGAAACAGCTTCCCATCACTCACACCCGCCGCTCCTTCTCCGTCCCCTCGCCCTCCTCGGCCCCCCCCTGCACCTCCACCTCCTCCGCTCCCCCCCGTGTCTGGCGACGTTGCATCAGCAGGAGCTGCAAGCTGCATTGTGGTGGCACCCAAGTGAGGTGCAGGGGAGAGCAGCAGAGGGTGGGAGGCGGGTGGGGCGTCATTTGGGGAGGTGTGATGCACGGGCGACATGCTGCCACTGCACTCCAGCAGCGCACCGGATCCGGAATCGCAACCCGAGTCACGCTCATGGGCAGGGGGGAGCGCGAGAGCGCCCCCGGCATGCACTGGAAGCAAGGGGAGGCTCCCGCCACCTGCTGCACCGCCAATCGTCACCCCGCCTCCTGCACTTGGCGCTGCAGGGTCACCGAAAGCAAGGGGGGGCTCAAGAGGTACTGCGGGATTGGCAGCAGCAGCAGCACCGTCCGCTGCGGAAGCGGCTGCATGTGCAGCGTGTGGGGCGACGGAGGATTGATTTCCAAGCTCCTGTGCCACGGACCATCGCTCGTCCTGAGGACGCGCTGCCTCCGCCTCGTCTCCCTGCCGCGCCAAGCCACCTGCCTCGCAACCGCCGCCTGCGCATTGCGTCTGCTGCGTCGCACACTGCCCTACATCCGCCCTCCGATCCTGCACGTCGCCTTGCGTCTCTTCGTCGCCTTGCTTCTCCGCGTCGCCTTGTCTCTCGTCACCGCTCTCTTCCAGTGTATCGCCCTGCTCCACAGCGTCACTGTGATCCACCACTCGACCAAACAGCTGTTGTTGTTCACCCTGCACTGCCCCTGGCCCTTTCGCCGCTCCACTGCTGCTCCCGGCCAGCAGATCTCTCACGCCATGACCCTCGCGTGTCTCTCCCGTGCTTGCACGTACCACGCCCTCTTCGCCCTCGTCCCCCCTCTCGTCCTCCTCTGCTCGAGCAGTGCGTTTATTCGCCTCCACAGCTTCCTGCCCCTCCGAATCGAATTTTCTCTTGGCACGAACCGTCGTCGTGCGCGCATCGTCCATCCTGGCACTCATCTGCGCTCCCCTGTCACCGCGCACGTCGAGTTCGCCGTTCGCGCGCTTACTCGCACTCGTCTCTCCCGTTTCTCCACCATCCGAGACCTCTCCCCTTGTCTCGCCCTCCCCATCGCACCCCTCCTCATCGTCCGCCCTGCTGCGGCGCGGCTCTCCCTGCCCCTCCCCTCCCTTCTCCGCCTCCGCACGCCCTGCGCTCGCGCCCTCCCCCTCGTCCCCGTGTCGCGGGCCGCGGTCGTGCCCGTCCTTCCGCATCGCAGATCCGTCGCTCGCCGTCTCGGCCCTATTCTCCCCGTTGCCTGCGACTCGACCTTCGCTGTTCGTCGCATCGGCATGGCCATCAGCTTCCCGCCCCACGTCTCCCGCCATGATGACCACACTCGCCGCGCCGCGGACCAAGGAGCGGGACACGAACCAGTGTGACGCGAGTCGATGCGCGCTACTGCACTCGAGCTCACTTGACGGAGGAACGATGGCAAACAATCCTTGCGCCACAAGAGCAACAACTTTGTCTTTTCTAGTATCTGCTCAGGCGAGGCGTACAGAACTACTACTGACAGGGCTTTTATTCGGCTTTGACTGTTCCAGGTCTCGCGCGCACTGGCGTCCGGGTCATGTCAGGGTCGTACTAAGTCAGGTACGCGGTCGTGCGTGTCGCGGTCTTAAACTAGTACTACTTAGTAGTCAGGTGTCAGGGTCGCACTAAGGTGTTCAGGGAACCACACAAAAATTCTCGAAAATATAATCGTGGATATGTCACAAGGCGAGGCGAATGGGAGAGAGGGCAAATCGTGCTTGCGACAAGGAGCCGACGAGGAGACAGGTGGCGAGTGGCGAGTGGCGAGTGGCGAGTGGCGAGTGGCGGAAGTGAACGACTCGTTGCTGCATGGGCTTGGCGCTCCCCGCCCGACCGCCCACCTTGGACAGCCACCTGTTTTCCCCCTCACCCGCCCACCCACCATGGTTCATGGTTCGCTGGCCATTTGAGGAAATTGGGGAAGGCCCGAAACAAGGTGCCGCCACCAAGCCATCCATGCATTGGGCGGCCTTCCCAAGGCTCGGGCAGGCATGCTTTGGTGAAAGGAATGAGGATAGAGTAGTGAACTGTACAGAATCTGGAGGGGAAGGTGGTTGCTGGTGGCAGTGGAAAATGCTGGAGCTTATCTGACGGTTGAGAGGGAAGCACGTCAGCAGCATATCGTACCCCCGGCGATGTACAGTGTTTATGCCAGCCCGTGACAAACATGAGCCTGCGATCACCCCACCCTTCACCTAAAATCATGTAGCCCCTATATTGAACATACACACATAAGATCATGTATACACACATAAGATCATGTATCCTAAAAACGTGTATCCTCATCTATTGTATCATAACTTGATGTTATAGTTGGACATTTAAAGAATCATAAGATTGATTGAAGCCCTGAAATTTTAATAGAACCAGACGAATTGACGCTTTCTGTGACCTTCCAAAAACAAATACCAGTAAACACAATATGTTTCAATCCCCAATTCTACGCCTCACAAATTCGTGTAGCGATATACTACTGCATCAATGCAAATAATTTTGTCATCGGTGTGGTTCTTACTTACAAGCCTAACGGTGTATCAGAATGCTGTAATTGTCTAGTCTGCAGTGGGGTACTCTATAGTGAGTACAGCCCAAATTAGGGTTGGCTATATGTTGAGAAAACTGAAACAAGAATGGAGTGCACTAAGGAATGGAATATGGTACAAATATGCAACCCTAGAAATGTGTACCCCATATAGGCTACCCCACTACAGCCTACAGAACATTATGATTTGACACACCCCCATAGGCAAAGTGGGGGAGAACAAGGGGTCAAAAGACCAATCAAGCAAAACAAAGCAAAGCTCAGGGTGGATCACAAAGTCACCACACATTCCGAGCACAAGTTCAAGGCCAGAAGGCCAGTTCACATGCAGGAGCACATATATATATAAAAGGCTCAACAAGCAAGAGCAGGAGTATATATATATGTGACAGTACAAGCAAGGTCAAGAAATGAGCAAGTGAGGCAAGGCAGGCACAAGACCAAGCTGAGTACAGAAGCGCTGATGATCACAAGGCGCAAGTGCCTTAGTGAAGATATCACCAGTGTTGGCCTCAGAGGCCACGTACGCAATTCGCAACTGACCACGCTGCTGCAGCTCACGAGCAAGAAAGTAGCGGAGAGCAATGTGCTTCGTTCTGTGCTCCAGGCGCTGCTCCCGACACAAGGCCAGCATGGCCTTGTTGTCTATGTACAGCACTGGAGGAGAACGAGGCGGCTCTCCGAGGTGAGTCAACAGGTAGGTGAGCCAGCGAAGCTCCTGTGCAGCCATGGCTCCTGCGTAGATCTCAGCCTCACAATTGGAGCCGAGAACGGAAGACGAGCGAGTAGCCTGTCAAAAGTTAGAAGAAAGAAAGAGGATTGAACTAGCAAGAATGAGGATACAAATAGCAAACCCTAGAAGGGTTGTACTCGCTATAGAGCACCCCACTACAGGCTAGAACAATAAGATAATATTCTGACATAGCCCGCCACGAAACAGAGCCGGAACCAAGGCTGAAGGTGTAACCCTGTGACACCCGCTGTGTAGCCTGGTCGTCAGCCCAAGAAGCGTCTGCGTGCCCAGTGAGGACCACTGGACTCTGCCCTCCAAGCACTAGCCCCATGCCCGACGTACTGCACAAGTAACGCAACACCCTCTTCGCTGCAGCCATGTGCTCCAGTCTGTGTCTCCCAGGAGCAACATAGCGTGCAAGAATGCTAAGAGGGTATGCAAGGTCAGGTCGTGTGCAGGTCATCAGGTACATGAGGCAGCAAACAAGCTCTGGGTATGGGCCACTCGACTCTACGGACTCATCCGAAGGCAGAGCTGAGAGCGAGTGGCGAGTAGGCAGAGGAGTGGCCTGAGGCGAGGAGTACGTGAAGCCGAAGCGCTGAAGGACCTGCTGCACCATGTGTGACTGAGTCAGGGTAATGGTGCGGCGTGCTCTGTCCCGGGTGATCTGCAAGCCAAGGTAGCTGCGCAGTTCACCCAGGTCTGTGCACGTGTGTCGCTTCTGCAGCTCGGACTTCACGTGGGCGAGTCCAGCAGTGTCAGCTGTGGCAAAGACCAAGTCGTCGACGTACACGAGGATGTAGAACGGCGGCAAAGAGGTGTCGGTGCGTAGAAACAGCGACGGGTCGGCAGTAGAGGGAGCAAACCCAAGAGCCGCGAGCGTAGTCCTCAGTGTGTCGTGCAACTCACGCGGTGCATGGCGGAGACCGTAGACTGGCCGCCGGAGGCTCCACTGGGTGCCAGGAGGGAAAGTCCCAGTGAAGCCAGGTGGGCGGCGCAGCCAGATCTCCTCGTGCAGGCTACCCTGCAAGAAAGTAGTGCTGAAGTCAAGAGAGTGAAGCTCATAGTCGCGCTGAGCGGCTATGTGCAGCAGTACCCGAAGAGTGGTCATCTTCGGGGTGGGAGAGAAGGTATGAAAGTAGTCAACTCCCTGCCGCTGACTGAAGCCACGAGCCACGTACCGCGCCTTGAAGACAGGTGGAGAACCTGGCGGCCGCTTCACCCTGAAGATCCACATGCCACTGACGATGTTCGCCCCAGGTGGGGGAACCGCGTCAACGTAGGTGCCTGTGGACTTCCAGGAAGCCATCTCTGCATCCATAGCTGTCTGCCATTGAGAGGAGTAGGGACCCTCTACGGCCTCCGCGTAAGAGCGCGGAGTCGAGATGTCAAGTGCATCCGGGTCTCCCTCAGGGGTCAGCAGTACGGACACGAGATGAGGTGAAGCAGCAGCCAAACACCGGAACTCCTCCTGCCTGTCCTCAAGGACGTCCGTACCAAGAGCACACTCACCCCCGACGGACGGAGGACAGACAGACGCAGACTCAGCAACAAGACTAGCAGCGTAGTCTAGACGACAGCGAGCAGCAAAGTCGACGAGCTCAGCAACTAGAGCAGACGCAGAAGTGGACTCAAAGGAGGGGTCACTGACGACAGTAGCAAGGAGACGCGTGACAGTAGGACTGGCAGCACGAAGAGAGTCCGACTCCGGGCCGGCTAGAGCAGGAAGAGAGGACTTAGGAGGAGAAGGCAAAGGGGCACGCAGAGGAGCAGTGGACGGACGTAGAGACATCCGATGCGTGCCAGGGACAGGAGGAGGACGCTGACGCGAACCGCGACCACTAGTGCGAGCAGTACGGACAGGCGACGCAGGGCGAGACGCAGGCTCACGACGCTCAGCAAGACCTCTAGTAGGACCAGTGTAGGGAGACGGCGCAGGCAGTGGGGAGGCCGGCTGTAACTGTAGCTGTGACGGGTCAGGCAGTGGACACTCTAAGGGAGGAGAAGGACTAGTAGAAGGAGGGAGACCAAGAACCTGCTGAAGGAGCGGAACAAAGTACGGCCGAGGCCGCGCGGCGACTCCAGACACAGCACGGACAGCACCAGCACCCCCAGCGGCAGCACCAGCGCCAACAGCACCTCCAGCTGCAGTACCTCAAGCAGCACCAGCAGCACCCGCAGCAGGACCGCCGCCAGGACTGACAGAAGTAGCCTCAGCGCCAACACCCTCAACAGCTCCAGCTCCTGTCATACCCGCAGGCCCATTAGCTCCAGCACCCCCAGTAAGAGCACCTCCGAGACCGGCGGCACCAGCACCCTCAGCAGCCGAAGAAGCTCCAGCTCCAGCAGAACGCCTCCAGCGCCGGGCAAACCACTCGCGCAGCTCCTGTGACGAGAGTGGCTTCGGCCGAGACGAAGCACCCGGAGGACCTCCAGGCCCAGCACCGCCAGACGCCACACGAGCAGGCCCAGCGGCCGGCGGCTCCGCACCCCCAGGCTCAGCAACTCCAGACGTGGCACCCCCAGGCTCAGCAGCTCCAGACGTGAACCCCCGCATCCTGTAGGTCAGCACCACTCACCTGGTTCGTAGAGAACGAGGGGAGGTAAAGGCCAGACAAGGTGCCAGATGGGGCCGCCGGACACGGGAGGACAGTGGAGAAGTGAGAAAGGACAGGACCCCCAGAAGGGTCTGCCAAGGAGACTGCAACTGGCCGACCAAGCGGCGTGAGTGTGGTGCGGTCTCGAAAGAAGGAGCGAGAAGCCCCTGAGTCAAGAGTGAAGGTGAGGGAGGCCGAAGCCGACGCGGTACTCGAGAGCGCAGACTCACCAGCACCTGAGGACGCAGACGCACTAGCACCTAGAGCAGCAACCTCACTGGCACCTAGAGCAGCAGCCTCACCAGTACCTAGAGCAGCAGTCTCAATGCACGGGTCGGGCGGGAAACACCGGTAACAGTCACCCTCATCACTAATAGTCACAGCATACATGGCAGCAAGAATAGCATCAAAGTCAAGATC